TTTGTGTACACAGGGACTTGACACGTTCCTATGACCCAGAATGATAAAAAAATACCTTTCATTCTGGGTCATAGGGACGTGTCAAGTCCCTTTGAGTGCGTATATGTATTCACAACATATGCAAAAATGGCATGATTTTTTTTTATACCGGTAGCATATATTTGCCAGTATAAGTATTTCCTGTCTTGATAAAAACTAAACAGTTTCAATTGTAATTGCAATATTTATTCAATATTGAACAAAAACTTAATAAAAACGAAAACAATTAGGTATCATTTTCCGGGGAATTATCTCCATGGATACGCTCCATCGAGAGTAATACTGCAGCTGACATTCGTGGGTACACAATGTACTATCGGCACACAGGTTATCTAACGTCAGTCACTACACCCAAATCGGGACACTTTTTAGATAAATATCAATGTTCTTTATACAATACTATACTATCAGTTCCAAAAATGTTTGTTCAATTTTCATAAAAAGATACTATCCACTTTACATTTTTATCACAATTCGATATTAAGGGCGCGTGGTTCTATAAAAAGAACGCGAAATACCATCAGAGTTACGTAGGCCGTTGCACCGGTGTTAAATGTACTATACCCTGGAATATTTGGGGATAAACGATCAATATCGACAGAAAATATGCATAGTTGAAATATGTTAGAGTCAACGGTTTCTGATTAAATTTCTTCTCCAAACTCTCAGTTGTTTTGATAAAATAGACTTTTGAAAATGATATCCAAATAAGGAAAGTCTTGTGTTGGTAATAATCTTACCTTTAAAGTGTTCATGTAACGATGATCATCAGCCATACAGCTAATACAGTTAAATTGTCATGGAAAGTATTCTCAAATAAAACTGTATACATAAAAGTACTACTTTGCATTGAATGACAGTTTCTTGGGCCGATTGTACACTTACTTTAATTATAAAATAAAATGTTATCGTTTTCGTGCACATCATTCTTATTATATAATTTACAAATATATTTAAGCAGGTATGTAAGTTATTTAAAAATGTGTTGTCGAATCTTGCACCGTTCTATGATACATTGTAAATGCTGATTTCTTGTCCTTATAACCGGATAATATAAAAGTGTATACAATTGTAGTTCTGTATGGTATTTATAAAAGCAATATGTTTTCTTGCAATCGGCACATTAACTATTAGAAATATGGTGTACCAATTTTGGGTACTAATCATGGCCGAAAAACGGACGAAATCTCACTGCGAGTTTAGCGTTCTATTTTCCAAAACAAATAGCGTAGAATTTAAACTTTTTCTGAAAATAAACTATCACAGGTAGTCTTTGTCAAGAACCAAGAAACATTCCAGGTACAAGATCAAGAATTTTTGAATATCACTTGTACCAATTGTGCTAGCGTGACGTTAGGGTATACTTATTACACGTCTACTGTACCTTTTAGACTTTCTTTTCAGCACAGGTCAAGGGAGTGGAAAACTTCTCGGCAACCTGTCAGCAACCAAAGCCAGTGGCCCAGATGGAATACCTAACCGCGTTTTGAAAGAGTGTTGTAGTGCACTAGCACCAGGCTTATCCGTCATATTCGACAAATCACTCTGCACTGGTTGCCTACCATCAGACTGGAGGAAGGCTAACATCACGCCAATCTACAAAAAGGGTAACCGCCACCTTGACAGCAGTTACCGTCCTGTCTCACTTACCTGCGTCTGTTCAAAACTTCTCGAACACTTCTTTGTAAACACCTCCTCACGCACTTATAAAATAACAACATTCTGACGGAAGTACAACATGGATTTCGAACAAAACATTCTTGTGAAACCCAACTCCTTGTCACAACCCAGGACCTTCTTTCCCGACTCGTCCAAAAGAAACAAATTGACATAGCTATTTTAGACTTCAGCAAAGCCTTTGACACGGTCCCGCACCGACACCTTTTGTATAAACTTGACCACTATGGCGTTCATCCCGACATCATTCGCTGGATTTCATCATTCCTGCAGGACAGAACCCAATGGGTACTAGCGGAGGTTGAACATTCAGCATCAGTGCAAGTTGAGTCCGGAGTCCCCCAAGGGACAGTACTCGGACCGCTCCTCTTCCTCTGCCACATCAATGACCTTCCACTAGCAGTGAAATCCACCGTCAGGTTATTTGCAGATGACTGTCTCCTTTATAGGACGATAAGAACTGTCCAGGATCACTTTGACTTTCAAGAAGATTTAAAATCATTGGAACGATGGGCATCAGCGTGGGACATGTCCTTTAACACCAGCAAATGTTACATCATGAGGATCTATCGCTCAAAATCGCCATCAGCCTTTCGCTACACTCTCGGTGATACCACACTAGAAGGGGTAACTGACAACCCATACCTTGGTATCATCTTCAGCAACACCATGAAATGGTCATCACAAATCATCAACCGTGCCAACTCCACACTGGGATTCCTTCGGGGAAATCTGAAGAAATGTCCGACGGATCTGAAATTGTGTGCGTTCAAGTCCCTAATTCGATCTGTATTGGAGTATAGTTCCACCATCTGGGACCCTTACACGGACAAGGACATATATATACCATAGAGAAAGTACAAAGGCTTGCAGCAAGATTCATTCTGTCAGATTACCAAAGAGAAAGCAGTGTAACATCCATGCTAAACAGACTAGAACTCGAACCACTGAAAGACAGACGTCGTGACCACAGACTAATACAATTGTTTAAGATCATCAATGGGCTAAGTCACACGAGTATTTGTGTTGGTTTCTTCTTGTGCGACTATATAGATGCAATAACCCAAATACATATACACACACAGATGACAGTTTATTTAAACATTCACACCATGAACGGAGACAGTTCCCTTGCACTGTGGCGGTAACGCACACAGGCAATTCCCATACGTCTTATCCAAGCCAAGGGTTGGAATAGAGTCAATTAACTCACCTGGGTAGAGCCCAGGGTGAGGCTTTTCACGTGCATGGACAGGGTCATAGGTCAAAGTGTCACTCTCAGCCACCTCTCATACGTCACAATTATAACACAGGTACATTACCTGACACAGACATATATACCATTACACACGATACACAGCGCAAGTATTAACATGTACTCAATTTACATCGTATTTAAAATTCATCTTTTTAAATACTAAATTACTGGACAAACTCTTAATAAGATTGGCCACCGTGACATTCTCCCCTGCAAAGGGAAATGACTTCTGGCATTAATTAAATTACAAATTATAACCCTTAAAGCTTAAAGTAAAATATCCATCTCGCCACCTTGGCCAGTATCCCAAGGTAACATAAACATGTACGTTATCCACTTAAAAGAATCTCCCCACTGCCAGTGGAAACAATGCATTCCTGATATGAATATCAATCTTTCTTTTTTTTTAAATAATTGAATGTGAATTACAATTAAGCTACATAACTACATAATATGATGGTAAACAATAAGGTTAATACCCACCAGTAGCTGTAGAGATTGACCAATAGTTTCAAAATCAGTAGTAAGCTTTGTTCACCGTGACAGCTAGTAGCCATACCCGCTGACGACTACATCACAGCCAGCCGTACCAACACACGACGAAACAACAGTCAGAAACTACAACAGATATCGTGCAACACTGAAAACTACAGACAATCCTTCTTCCCACGTACACTAACCGAATGGAACGCTCTAAAAGAATCCTCCATCAGCGCAACTACGTACGGTCAACCAATTCCGTAGTAGCCTCAAAAACTTACTTTTACTCCACTCCTCCTCCCCGGATGTGATATTCAATTTATGAATTTTATCCGGAACCTTACAGATACAGATACAGACAGATACAGGTAATATTGGGTCAGCGTAAGTGAAGCTTATATTATCTGTACCGGTCACCAAAGAACTCGATGGCATACAACCTAGATGGAACGCGGAGGTCGATCCTCCGCGGATTTTCGTGACCCGATTACGTGACATGAGACGTGAAGGTCCCTGATGTGATAAATCATCGCGTTTGACCACTTAAACGAAATACTTGACGCGATGGCTGGGTGAAAAGTTACACCGACTATCCTCTACATCGGTCTCAAAATCACAACACTGAAATATTTAACAGTGGATGAATGTAACGTTACTTGGATCATACTTACCCGGGAATAAACATATGGGGTCAGTTCTGTTCTGTTGTTTTAAAACTGGATTTTTGTCACTCATATAAAGTGTATGTTTAGAAAAGGAAAACTTAAACATTTTGTGACAGGTCCGGTATATTTTGAACGACGGAAGTGCCCCACGGTGCATCTTAACTTCATCTGAGCCGTTTTCGTTTAAACGATTGTTCCGGTCGGACCACAGTTGTTCGTTTATTAAATAAGGTCGGGCAGTGAATCTGCTGCTCCTTTCAGGCGACGGCCTTGCAAGGCCTGCATAAACATTTGCAGGTCTTCTAGGATTAACGGACAATCCGGTTGTTTCAGGCCCCTGGACGTTTCAGACTAGTTAAATTTATTCCAATTAAAAGAACGTATCGTAACGTACTGATGTGTCTGTGCGATACCAAAGGGTACATTCGCGTTACCGGTTGAAACGGTTGAACCGGTTGAACCTGTAACGAAAACGACAGGTACAGATTTGGACCGAGGCTGACCTCAGGAAAATTTGGTACGTGTAGATTGAGGGGTCCAGACGTACCTGGCCGAAACTAAACTGCTGAATATTGCTAGTTTGCGTTATTTCTTTCTAAAACAATGTCAAGCCACATGTATTTTTTAAGATACGTTATGTAATTTAGTGGACGCGTGAGAGAAGGGCATAATATTCTTGATACATTGTTTATTATTCTCCGAAACTGTGGATTTTTAGCTCTGCTTATAGAACGGTCCAAGTATGTTCGTTTATCGTGGAAAATTTCTGCGCCACACGTACCGTTTCAACCGGTAACGCGAATGTAGCCCTACAGTTTAAATTTCCGGAAAAATGCACCGTGTCTAACTCGAAGTATAGATCCTATCTTATACTTCCGGTTCGTTACTTCCTCTGTAGAAACAGTCTGTCAACGTGAACGAGTGAAGTCTACAAACAAAATAGGGAAAGAAGTACGTTTTGAAAGACGGCTATATATATCGTTATTTGTATTTGGTAAATTTATACTGCTGTTAGTGTGTTTTATCTCCATGATTGTTCTGAATATTGTGTTATGTGATGTAATCTGGATTCGACATCAATACAATATAGACCAGATCTGAAGTGAAAGTTAAAAAATTACTGCATAAGATAAACATGTGAACGGGCTATTTGTTAACATTTTTCATAAAAACGTATAGTCATAAATGACTTTATAGCAAAATCTGCTTATATAACTAGATTAACCAGTGCGCTGTACCTGTTTATGGTAGGGTATGTACAAAATGTATACTGCAGCACCAAAGCCTTAAAGGTGTCTGAAATTCTTGACTGTAAATTGAGATAAAAATCATATATAAAAAAAGGTATATCAAACAATACCCTTATTTTTTAAATGACATTTATCCTAATTTACAGTCAGAATTTCAAACAAACACCTTTGGCAGCACTCGGTGGCACTGTCAAATCAGGAATATGTACAATGACAAATGTAAACAAACAAGTTGATAGGTTAGTGTTCAATTCCATCATCCCTTGATATACTCCAACAATGTTAGAGGTTTTACACGGCGAAAATATCTTTTGTCGCAGTCGACAAAATCATATCCGATAGAAAAAAGGCCGACCAGCGGCCTCTCATGTTGAAGGACCTACCCTTGATACAGGTACTGCAGCACCGGCAAATCTGGCTATATAACTAGATTTGGCTATATAGTCAAATATGTATATAGGGCAAATGTAAACAAACACGCCAGTACTGGTTGTAATTATCTTGTGCACCTCGATTGAAATGTTGACCAAACAGGTGAGTCAGTGAAATGAAATATTTTTATCTGAAAACTCAATTTCCTGTGCCTTTTTTGTTGCAATTGTAGGTACTTTTATTTTTATCCTATCCATCTGATGGTCAGACAGGAATAATAAGGATTTCTGTACCAAAACATGAAACATTTCACTCCCTCCCAACACATGAACAACTTTCAATATGCGTGTTATCATTCTCTTCCAAAAGCACACATCACCTGGGGCCAAATTTGCATCATCAGGATGCATAGCGCCATATTGAATAGACATGCTATAGTTTGTTACTAATAAGTGATGTATGTTGACAGGAATCATTTCACTGATTCACATGAATGGTCAACACTTCAATCGAGGTGCACCAGATGATAACGACCAGTACTGGTGTGTTTGTTTACATTCACCCTATATACGTATAGTCATATGTATAGCCAAATCTAGCTGAGCATTGGTAAATCTAGCTATATAGCTAGAATTGACACTATAATGAATAAACACACACTAATATTTAAAATGTTAGTGTGTGTTTATTCATTATAGTGTAAATACTTTTGTAAAGATCCATTTTAAACTTGCAGGTTACGCAGATTAGGGCACCAGGGCCAATATTTATTAAACCATTCGATCTTCTCAAGCTGAAGCATGGATTCTGTGCTCCAACCAGCTAATATCTTGTTACTCACTTAAATCCTGTCAAATGATCAAAAAATCAATTGTTAACATTGAAACAGTGCTCCACTTTTAGTTCGTTCAAAATACTTCCATATCATCTTTAAAAAAATATTATTTTTCAATCACTTATAACAGGAAGAAGAAATTAGGCTTGAGCACAAAAATCCAGGCTTGAGCATGAGAGCAGTTTCATAAATACAGGCCCTGGTTGTTCATGTGTTGCGATGTCTAGGAGTGTGATATATATGCAGTGTTTTGTTAAATATAATCAATATTTCCATCTTACCACCAGAGAGAGGGAATTAGGCTTACTGTAGCTGGTTAGCTAGCCTAATTTGTTAGAATGTCTGTCTAGAGTTAGGAAGTCCAGGATTCAAATCCTGGTCTAGCCATGTATTATTCCTCTCCTTTTACATTTAATAGAGTGGAACTGGACTGGGTTGATAGCCAGGGGCCAAGTAACTTGTTTGGTAATGGTTACAGTGTCCATCTAGAGTTTTAGAGGTCCCGGGTTCAAATCCCCACTGTTGGATATTTTCCTTTTCTTTTCATCACATATGTATACATTATTACAGAGGTTTCAGGCCACTGTCACACTGTTCATGTGTCATTTCCCAAGTTTTACAAATTGTTTGGTTACCAAATTTCAGAGATTACCGGTAATGGACTTTTCAGTTTTGGCCTTGATAATTAGTTGTTTTACTCTAAGACTAATAGATTTTTTTCCAGCTCTGTACTTCTACACCTAAGCTGAATTTTCCATAATATTTATTCACTTGTACCAGTAATGTCACACCCTAATTACCAATATGACATTACTTGACCTATTTTACTTCCAGAGTGTAAATGTTGACAAAACTATGACGTGATGGATATGTTTAACAAAATCCGAAGTGCTGTTAGCAGTGCTTTACCGGGAAACCCGCTGTCAAAGGACTTTGATGTATTAAACCAGGTAGCTAGTGGTGGTTCAGGCTTGTCCTGGAAAATCTACAATGGGATAAAACGAACATCAAAACAGGTACGGTTGCAATTGTAATGGAATTGATTGTGATATGCCACCTTGTTTATCTCCAACATTTTTCAACAATTTCTTTAGCTGTCTTCATTACTATACTAAAAGTATCACAAAATCCCTTTATTATGCCAAAAGTGTAATAATGGTGGCAGTATTACAAAGTTATACTGAACACTTGATACTTTGTTCCTTTGTAAATTTAGGACAATTATAAAACATTTTTGATCAACCTATGTAAATCACTCTTGTTTGCCGGGTGGGAGTGGGCTAAGGATCTCCGTGTGGGAGGAAACCAGAGTACAGGGAATTGAACCCTCTGGCATTCTTGAACAATGGCACATGCACTCCACTGTGTCCTCAGACCACCCATCTGTATCAAGTTCTAAAAACTCTACTCTGGTACACTGCTTTCATTATATATATAAAATTGTGTGTATGTATCTTTTCTCTGAACATCAGTGAGGAATTTCCACAAAAAAAATCTTATATAATATATTCTGTGTTAATTTTTTTTTTTTTTTTTTTTACTTCTCATTCATTTACACAGGAAGCTGCTGTGTTTGTCTTTGACAAGAAGACACTTGAGAAGTATTCCAGACGAGATAAGGAGATAATTATAGAATGTTTGAAGAAGGGCGTGTCCCAGTTGACCCGACTGCGTCACCCTAAAGTGCTGTCTATCCTTCACCCCCTGGAGGAATCACGGTATAAATCATATATAATTATATGTAATTTATGTACCTCATTATATACAACAACTTTCTTTCGTAGCCTTAATGGCATCCCTCTTACCTATAAGATAATTAGAATACAATACACATCTATATACTGGTATTTATAGTTTTTTCTATATACTGGTAAAATGTAGATATATACATATTCCTTTTGTATAAGGTAGCAGTATACAGTAGAAATGGCCCGACTCTTATAAACAAGGCACATGTCGAGGAAATGTAAACACAGCGGATTTACCCTACACAACACATGTATACATGTATATATATTTGTAAACTGCATTACATTTACAATACATATAAAGTACTGAGAAGTGTATAAACCTCTTTTTTCTATGTATGTCACTTGTGTGAAAACCATGGTTACCACATCAAAAATTACCAAAAAATGNNTTGTAGAACTTGATTTTTTGCAATTTTGCGTCGTGTGCTGTTGTCAAAATTTTACCTCCTGTAAAGCTAGCTTTTCATGTGTACGCACCCTTTCGTATTATGGCCAAAATTTTATTCTCGAACCAAAGAAATCTTCTTTCTTTTTTACAAATGTGAAGCTCACATAGCCCACTTCATCATGCTTATACCAATTTTAGTACAGTTTTATTTTTTTATTTTTTTTACATATCATTATACAGGGGTTAGCCATTTAACAAAAATATCACCCATGGCCACAACCCTCTACTGTACACTGCTACCTAAGGAAAAAAAGGCTTAGTATGCTTTTGCCCATTATTGGCCTACAAATCCATCAAATTTAAAAGTTTTAATAGAGCTTTCTAATCACTATTTCCTTAACCCTTAGGCTGCTACGCACAACAATAGTCGTTTTTAAAAGTCGGGCCGTCAGTGCTACGCACGACTATAGTCGTTTCTCGGTCTGTAGGCTTTTATCGGTAGCCAGGAAGTGTGAAGTCAGGTTGTTGCTATACCAAACCCGAACGCGTATAGTAGACGGCTTCTGATTGGTTGTTTTGCCATTACTTTCGATATTCACGGCAGTGTACCCTAGTAATAACCAAAGGTGTGCGAGAGAATTTCAAATCGAAAAAAAATCATAAAAATGGCGGACGTGTAGATTGAAGCGATGAATATGATGGTGAACATTTATTCTCCATCGTCACCTACGATGATAATAAAGGTTTTAAAGGGTTTTGCATGGTTGATGTGGAAATACTTCGGTGTTACATAATATGTAACTTTCCAGTAAACGGCTTTGTGCTCTACGCAAACAGG